CCTGGTGGCATAGCCGTTAAGTTCACGCTTTCCACTTTGGTGGCCAGGGGTTGACCGGTTCGCATCCTGGGCTGGGACATACTCACCATTCATCAAGCCATACGGCGTCCCACATAGAAGAGCTACAACTCTACAACTATGATACACAACTATGTACTGGGCCTTTGGGGAGAAACAGAAAAAGAGGAAGATTGGCAACAGATGTTAGCGCAGGGCCAATCTTCCTCAAAAAAATTATTTTTTGCTTGTTTGAACTTTATATAAACACAATTGTACTACATGGGTTGTTTTATTTGATGTTTCTTTCACTCAAGATTATATTTTTAGGAGTCATCCATGTTTTGCATATAGCTGTACTTCACTCATTTTCAACTCCGTATAGTATTCCCCTGTATGATTATATCACAATTCATTTATCTTTTCTACCATTAGTGGACATTTGGGTTGTCTCTTGTTAGGGGTTATTACAAAAGTGCCCCAATGAACACTCTTGTACGTGTGTCCTGGTGCGTGTGTACCTGAGTTTCTCTTGGCTGTATTCCTAAGAGGAACTTCTGGGTCCTAGAGTAGGCATATCTTCAACTTCACTAGCTAATACTGAACTTTTTCAAAGTGGTTGTATCAATTTACACTCCTATAAGAAAAGGTGCTCAACTTCATTAGAAATGAGACAATTGTATTATTATTATTAATACATCTTTGCTTGTCTTCCAAAGCAATATCTTCCTGATGCTTCCTTAAGGTAAGTTCTAACCCCCTGGCTCCCTTTTCTAGCTTCAGGCTGACTCACAGTTTGTATCTTGGCATGATTTCTTACCAGTAAGTGGATCACTGTTTCTCTTATGTGTTACAAGTTAGCTTCTACCTTGGTAAGCCTTGGGCGTAACAAACTCTCTTGTATCATTGGTGATACATGTAATCGTTACATCTCAGGGTAGGTGGCCCCCCAGATGCTTGATCTTTTGCCTTCAGTATGGTGCTGTTTTTGAGCTGCTGAGTGGAAGGTTAAGAGCATGAAATCTGGAGCTGGACTGCCTGGGTTTGCATCCTCACTCTGTACTTTCTAGCTGCATGATCCTGACCAAATGATTTCAACTCTCTGGTCCTCAGTTTGCTCATCTATAAAGTGGGAATAATAAGGTACCTACCTCGTAGGGTGACTGTGGAGATTAAATGAGGAAATACAGGGAAAGTACGTAAAACAGTGCCTGGTATTCTAATAATTTGATGTATATCCATTTCAGTTACGGCGGCAGTAGCGGTCAGTGGTTATGAACATGGGCTGAAGTCAGAAGGCATTCAGGTCCTGGCTCTACTCTCTCCTGACTGTGTGACCATGGGCAAGTCATATAACCTCCCTACACCTCAGTTCCTCACCTGTATAAACTGGGCAATTAATCCCTATCTTGTACAGGTGTCGTGAAGATTAACTGAGATGGCAAATGCAAAATGCTAAGTGCTGAGTATGGGTGTAGTACACGGTAGTTGCTGTCATTTTGACAGGTGGCAGCTACTGTTCTTGCCCTCAGATGTTAGAGGTGAACAGCTCTTGGGCCCTAAGCCCATAGGTCCTATGCACTGACCAGTAGGGTGGAGAGACCACAAGCGTTACACCCATTTACGTGTAGGTCCCAGGATCTTTTATTTTTTTTTCTTTTAGGAAGGAGAAGAAAAGTTTAATATGTAATAATTCATACCTTATATTTATTTAAGTATAAACATTTGTTATTTATATCCAAAACTACTTTAAAAAACAACTAATAAATGATTTAATTGCACTTGTTTTACTTCTTACAATTCCCAAGTGTTAACTTTTCTTAGATTGAAATCAACTGTCCCCTAGTGCACTTTTAGTTCCTGTCTTAAAGAATTCAAACCTTTAAAAGTCCCATCACCTAATGCATAAATATACAAAAATGTCAAAAATTAATCCCTTTTAGTTGGATCATATTTTATGCTCACTTTTTATAGTCAATAAACAGAAATGGTTTCCTTTTGCAAGGAAAAGGAAATTAGCTGAATGAGACCCAGGCCACTTTCCAGTGGCTCAGGTATGGGGCATCCCAGCACACTGGTAACTAACAGAACACAAGTAGCATGTCTGGAGCAGGAGCTTTGAGGGTTCTAGGGAGGAAATATCTAGTTGAGCAGTTTTCCTGGATGAAAAGGGTTTTAAGACGAGTCTCAAAAAAATATGCATGTAGATGGGAGAAGTTGGAGACAATACTGGTCAGGAAGTCACAGTACATCATGAAGAGCTTTGAATCCCAGGCCAAGGAGTTTTTCCTTAATTCAGTAAGGAATGAAAGACCTTGTATTGCCAGGTGCTGTAAGACGGGAGCTAGAGTCTGAAAGGCACCCAGGTGCACTGGGCCAACAAACAGTGGTTTAGAAACCCCACTGTCTGGCTGGCATTGCCGTCAGACTCTACCTGGCGCTTTTACTTTTTTTTTTTTTTTATAATTTTATTTATTTATTTATTCCCCCAAAGCCCCAGTAGACAGTTGTATGTCATAGCTGCACATCCTTCTAGTTGCTGTATGTGGGACGCGGCCTCAGCATGGCCGGAGAAGCGGTGCGTTTGTGCGCACCCGGGATCCGAACCCGGGCCGCCAGCAGCGGAGCGCACACACTTAGCCGCTACGCCACGGGGCCGGCCCTACCTGGTGCTTTTAGAAGACGATATTTGGATATCTGTCTAGTACAGTTTTAATGCCAAATTAATTTTGTGTTTTTCTAACACATTTCCAAAGACCAGTGCTAAGGTGCTGGGGTTATTATTGTGAACCTTATTACTGCATGCAAACTAGAGATAAAATGCATTAGTACCTTACTGTCCTGGTGGAAACCTACAGGTGAGAAAATTATATGGAACTGAGTACAGGCACAAATGAGTATAAGTAAGACTGGGGAGATGTGAATAAGATCAGTGGATTGTATCAATGTCAATATTCTGATTGTGATATTATAAGGCAGTCCCCCCTTATCCACAGTGGATACCATCCAAGACCCCCAGTGGATGCCTAAAACTGCGGATAGTACTGAACTCTATATATGCTGTGTTTTTTCCTGTACATACATACATATGATAAAGTTAAATTTTAAATTAGGCAAAGTAAGAGATTAACAACTAATAATAAAACATAACAATATACTTTAATAAAAGTTACCATAGATCTTAGCAACTTCAGCATACAATTTTTTTCTTTCCTTATCAAATCGAGAACTTGACCCTTTTCACTTAAAAGAAGCATTTTACAGCGTCTCTTTGGCGTGTCTGAATTGCCAGCATCACTACTCTTGCACTCTGGGGCCATTATTAACTAAAATAAGGGTTCCTTGAACACAAGCACTGTGATACCTAGTCAATGTGATAAGCAGGACAGCTACTAAGTGACTAATGGGTGGGTAGCTATGCAGTGTGCATATGCTGGACAAAGGGATGATTCACCTCCCTGGTGGGATGGAGTGGGACTGCTCGAGATTTCATCACAATGCTCAGAATGGCACACAACTTAAAACTTATGAATTGTTTACTTCTAGAATTTTCCATTTAATATTTTCAGACCAAGTTGACTGCCGGTAACTGAAACAGCAGAAAGTGAAACTTCAGACATGGGAAGACTACTGTATTATAGTTTTGGAAGCCATTACCATTGGGGAGAATTGGGCAAAGTGATCAAATTATATTTCTGCATTATTTTTTACAACTGCATGTGTCTTCAATTTTCTCAACAAAAATTCCAATTAAAAACGCACTAGTACAAGTCATATTTTGTAGAAAAGGTGCTGTAGCGAGTCACATTCCACTTCCCTCACTTATTTATATTTAGGGGATTCCTGGGGCAGTAAAATACGCGCCATTATTTTTCCCCAGGCTTCAACTGGAAAGGAAAGCAAAGTGCTCAGAAGGAGCGAGGCCAACAGTACAGGAACCGCTTCGCTACTTTGATCTAAGTGGAAGTGCAGATTACAATTACCCAAACTTTAGACAGTTCTGCTACAGCGGGTCAACTTTTGCCAGCTGTTTTATGATTTACCCACTAGGTTTCCTATGTCACTTTTGCGTCACTACCTCCAAAGGTAGAGTTAAAATTATTCTTTTATTATGGAAGTGAAGTTTATCCACAAAAAAAAAAAAAAAAAAATTGACGGGAAGTTGCCAGATGTAGCATTTTAAGCTTTAGGGAGTTTTTACCTGACCCATTACTTTCGAAAAGTACAACCCGCAAGGATGTGCGAACTTAACTTCTTGAGTGACTTGGCGAAGACCGTGCTAACAGGGAAGGATCGTTACGAACTGTGCAATTATCCTTTCTCTGCTGTGCTGAAGGTTTCCCTTCCCAGCAGCAGAGCCGACCGCGACTTGAATGCGAGCCCTGAACTTTCATGAAGCGAAAGAGAAGAGGGGACGACATGGCAGGCTGGGAATCCGGCCCCGGGAAGGCGTCCACCGCGCCGGAGAACCACCACCAGAATTTCCAGAAAAGAAACTTCTCTTCCTCAGACTTGGCGGCTTCCGCGAGTCCAGGAGCGGTCGAGGCGGCCGCCCGAGCTCCCGCGTCCCGGAGGAGGGAAACTGAGGCAGGGCAGGCGCGGCGCGCGCAGCTCGGGCCTCGGCGCCCGCCCCAGGGAGGGAACCCAGGCTTCCAGACCTCTCCGCGCGGGCGCAGCACCTCCGAGCCATCCTCCTCCCGGCCGCCCGCCCCGCCCAGCTCGGGACAAAGCCCGGAGCCCGCGCCGGGAGGGGGCAGGGCGGCTCCCGCGCGCGCCCCGCTCCCCCGTGGGCGCCAGACTCCGCCCCGCCGCCCCTCCGCGGGGAGCCCGCGCCCCAACGGCGAGGCGGCCGAGCCGGGCCCGCCCCGAATCCCCATGACGTCACCGGCGGCGGCAGGCCCCGCCCCCGGCCCCGGGCGGCAGGCCGCATGACGTCACCGAGGCCCCACCCCTCCGGAGCGAGTTCGGTCCTGGCGTTCATTTCATTCCTGTCCTCATTCCGAACATTCTTAGCATCGCTCGCGCCGCGCCGCGCCGCCCGAGCCGAGCCGAGCCTCTGCAGCCGCCGCCGCGGCCCCGCCGCCCGCCGCGGGCGCCCACCAAGCACTTTGCAGACTCGCTTCCACCTTGAGGGCCAGTCCGCGCGGCGGGGCCCGGGCCCGGGGCGGCCGCGTCCGGGGACAGGTCATGCAGTGAACCCCCCCACCCCGTCCACCTTTGCCCGGAGCCGCGGGCAGCAGCCCAGTGCGCCCAGCCGGCCCCGGGGCAGGAGCGGTGCTAGGCAGGGGTGGGGTGGCCGGCCCGGGGACCGGGAGCCGGGGAGGGAGCCGCGCACCGAGCTGAGGGCGGGGGAAGCGGCGCCGAAGTTTGCCTCGGACGCGCCGGGCGCTGCGGCGGCTCCCTTGGCCGAGGTAAGTTGGCGCGCGGGGCTGATGCTGGGTGCGGGGGGCGCACGGGGCGCCGGGGGGCGGGGG